GGAGAGAGAGAGAGAGAGAGAGAGAGAGAGAGAGAGAGAGAGAGGGAGAGAGAGACCAAAACTGACTACTGCAGGCAAAGTCTAGTTAATCTTATAAATAACAAATTCTTTCGCTGGAGCAATGATTTAACAATGTTCACATTTTTTTTTTTCAGTTAGTGGCATTGAGACATCAAATTTCAGTAATGTCCCTTATTGGAATTCTGCTTGGTTTGGGGTAATGGTGAGAAGTAATCCCATGTTGTTTTCCTGAGAACTTCACTGCGAATGAAGGTCAGTTTTACAGATGTGTAGGGCCAGAAAGAGTCTCCAAGCATTTCTTATTTTGGTTTCTCCTCGATGTTTCCTCCCTGCCCCACCAGAGTTCCAGAGCTTCAGCCCTCATTTGTGTCATGCGTAAGGAACATCTATGACGGTTTTATAGATTTCTCTTTCACAGCAGCAGATCATCACTCCCCAAATTTCTTCCGTTATTAGTTGTCTCCCTTGGAGGAAATCCTGAGTCCTGATGAACGTCAACACTAGTCTTCTTAAACACCCCAGCATTGCAAGAGAAAATGAGCAAGCCCTGAATTGTTACCTGGAAAGGTATCACCAGGTTGACAGCTTCTCCAACTCTGCGGATGTAGGTTTGCTTCAGGTGCCGTGGGATGCGAATCTTTGGAGGCTCTGAGTGAGAGGAGCAGAGCACAATTTGGTGATCAGTACAGCACACTGGAATTAGCCTTATATTGGCATACTGCTGGGATGCTCACTGCTCGCCTTTGCAGGAAAACTTAGATGGGCCACTAATAGATAACATATGGTAACTCTGGTTCCAAATGTTTTCTTCCAAGAAATGTTTTAACAGTTTAACACAAAAAAATTTATCCTTGACCTCTCTGATTTTATTGCAACTTTCTATTTTTATTGCCGTTATATGTCTAAAGCGACTTTATAGAAAAACACCAAATTTTCTCCTGGGACCGTGTACATATTTTTCATAGTTTCCAACAGGGAGTATATTCTCCGATGAACAACCCATTTAAAGTCTATAGACACCACATTAGCTGGTAGGCCTATTCTTTCTTACCAGAAAAAAAAAAAAAAGAAGAGATTTAGCACCGAGGACTTGCTATTGAGATGATTCTGTTGGCATTTTATAGTAACTTTCTCCCTTGTGCTATCATGAGCTGCATAATGGACAACTCTAGCCTACTGTGTATTAATGTCCATTAGTTCAACACCAAGAAGATACTAGAACCTATTGCTGTAAACCCATTAGGAGCAGGGAGTCAAAAGCTCATGGGCTCACCCACAACCACTTTCACACCATGAGAGGGATGATGTAGGTCTCATCACTTGGGTACTCATTTGTGACAGACACTGGGCTAAATGCTTTTCATGATGGGACCAATGTAAACCTCTTTGCCACCGTAGGGGCTATGTGCTGCTTTTACCTTATGATAAAGAAATGGGGGCATAGGAGTTAAGGAACTTGCTCTTGGCGACACAGGCAGGATTAGAACCTGGAGTCAGCCTGAGGGCCCATGCTCTGCTGAGAAGTACAGACTGCAGAGCCACAGACAGTAGATCAGACACGTAGCAGATCGAGCTGGTCACAGACTCCTGTTCTGTAAACGCAGGGTGATAACAGCATCTAATTTGTAGGATTGTTGTTAGGATGAAATAATGTTATCCACGTAAAGCATTTAGCATAATGGTCAAGAATAGTAAACTTTAGCCCAGCTGGCGTGGCTCAGTGGTTGAGCATTGAACTATGAACCAGGAGGTCATGGTTCAACTCCCGGTCATAGCACAGGCCTGGGTTGCAGGCTCAATCCCCAATAAGGGGGGGGTTGGGGGAGGGAGCAAGTGCAGGAAGCAGCTGATCAATGATTTTCTCTCATCATAATGTTTCTATCTCTCCCTCTCCCTTCCTCTCTGAAATTAATAAAATATATTTTAAAAAGAATAGTAGTAAACTTAAGGAGATAGTGATGACATTGATGATGTCGATGATGAGGACCGAATGTTGGGGTTGGAAGAGATCCTGGAGATCCTCCAACTCCCTAAAAGAGACTCAGTAAGGTTCGTCAGCAAACTGAACCATCATCCTAATAAAAGCTCACACATGCTGAGGGCTTAGCACTCTGTGAAACAAGGAATACGGATTCATTTCTTTCATTCTCACCCCTCCTGAGGTAGTAAAAACTATTGCTAGCTCCATCTTGCCGATGAAGAAAGCAAGGTTCAGAAAGATAAGTCTCTTACCCGAGACCACATAGCTAATAAATGATGGAAACATTTTTAAGTTTTAGAGAGCTGTCAAGTCCATGGTGATGGATAACATTTTCCCAAAATTCTAATTTTTGCTGAAAAGCTCTTCTTTATTTCATTGACCAGTTGACAACAAATAGTACAAATGGTTTTCCTTGAAGTGACAGGCTCTCACCATTCATTTTCTAGAAAATATCTGCTGGGTAATCAAATCTGACAAGCCGTTGTTTGTCACATAGTCATTCTTTCAAATAAAAATGGAATTTCATGAAACAAGTCACTAGCTTAGCCTCTAATTCAGCTGCACGAGGGCTTTTCCTAGAAACAACCATTGTACTACGGTACACAGCACAAGGCGTCATGCACACTGTGCATTTTATTGTCGCAAAGTATAGAAAAAAAAGTGCACTCAAGCACCAAGCTTTAATAATACTAAGGATTTTATGCCACATCAAGAACACTCCAAGGCAACACTGGCCCTTTTATTTTAGCTGCAAGTGCATGGTGGGGAGGAAGATAAGAAAGAGTAACAGTTGGTGGCACCGACTTGATCCACGCTAAGGCACCAGCAGTTTTACCCATGACCACTTTCACACCATTAGAGCAGCTGTCAAATAGTGTGTCCAGATTACTAGTTCTCTCTCTCTCTCTCAAGTCAACGGTGAAGAACCCCAGTGAGGCTAGCTAACTGGTCCTCATACCAAGATATAAACCCAGGCTACCCTCCACACTGCCTGAAAAGAGCTGTGGTTTTGTTTTAATTTTAAAATATGTTTTTATTGACTGTAGAGAGAGGGAGAGATAGAAACTTCAATGAGAGAGAAACATCATTGATCAGCTGCCTCCTGTACACCCGCTACTGGAGATGGAGCCTGCAACACAGGCATGTGCCCTGCCTGGGAAACTAACCAGTGACCTTTTGGTGCACGGGTCAGTGCTCAACCACTGAGCCATACTGGCTGGGCTCCCAGGAAGCATGAATTCAATATCAAAGGAGTGATAACAAAATAGAAAGTTTTGAAGGAGAAAGGGATTTAAGAAATAAAAGCAAATAATGTAAAAGGGAGATAACATGCTGAAAGGCTCACCACCTACCTATGATTTCCTTCACAAGGATGGGCTGGGAGTAGTACTTGGGCTCGCTGGCACCGGCTGCGTTCACAGCCTTCACACGCACAAAGATCTTTGCATCTGTGGGCAGGCCCGTGATGGTGAACTTGGTCTTGTCGATCAGATCTGTGTTGGCAACTATCCAGTCCTCAGCTAAAATCCACAAAAGAAAAAGAAGGCAAAACGGTGTTTAGAGAAACAATCATCTTAACTGGTACAGTCAACTCCAAATTAGTATTTTACTCATAATTAAATCATTTGGCCTGGACTCAGATCACGTATGTGGCTGGGCATTTTTCAGACTTAAATGAAAAAAAATGGCCTATACTGGCTAATGCAAATAACAGGAAGAAAGACAATCAGATTCTGTTATTTCTGAAAAACCTCTATTCAGGATATTAGGGTCACTTGCATAATAACTTCCCAAGAATTTGGCAGCAATTGTATAATGAAGGATGTAACCATGATATCTAGCCATCCATATACATTCAAGTTCAGAAACACAGGAGAACATTATTATGAATGAGAGATAGAACTTTATAGTAAATTTCCAGTCATATAGTATCTCTAGTTTATTACTATCAGATGCTAGTTATTACTCTGAAATACACACATGAGGATAGGGACTCTGATCATGCTCCCATTTACGAAGACAGTAGGCATATACCCACGAAGGAGGAAACAAAGCGCAGGGGCCAAGACCTCCTAAGGAGTTGGCACAATTCTTCCACCTCAAGCCAGCAGCCAGGGCTAATAACTATTTCAGCTCCTAACAGTTCCTTTGCATTATGCCCACAGGACAAAAGAAGGCTTGGATCCCACGTTATGAGCTCACTGCCCGCCCCCGCCCCGCTCCATCTCTAAAAGGACTTTTCTTGTGTGTATGGACGGTGGGTGTACTTCATGCTGGGTTATGGGCATTCCCAGAAACTTTATCATAGAGTAAGAAAGTGTGAAAGCTTTCAGAGAATACTTTACCTGACGACAGATCATATGCAGCCTCCCCATTTTCATCAGACTGTTTTGCTGATGTACCTTTGAGAATCCGTCATTAAAATTAATTAAAGACACCCACTGTCACACCAGAAGACTATGTATCAGTAGTCAGCATTCTCTGTTAGTAAAGTATGCAAGGTATGCAAAGATATTTGTCTTCAGAGCAGTGACGGAAGAGACCAAACACGTTAGGGGGGCAGGAGGGGTTCCTGAGGAGGGGCGTGGCCTGCTTTGTTCAGACTGTGGCTTTTGTCCTGTGGCACCGGCCACAGAGAAGAGGGGGAGAAAGGAGCCTGAAGCACCTCCGGCTGTGGGAGCAAGAGGTAGAGAAGAACCAGGCAAGACCCTGAAGAGAAAGGAGGAGCAGGCCCTGGACTCCACAGGGGAGCAGTGCATGGTGGAACAGTCCATCCTGGCTCCTGCCCCAGCCACCCCAGCCTGGGTGGGCCCTCCGAGTTCCCAGGGAATGAAGTGCTCCCGTGATGGGGCTCATGCATCAGTCTGGGAGTGAGGACACTCATAATAAGGCCCACCCTGTCTTACCAGGGCTCTAATTCTCAAAAGAAATGGAACTGCCCCAGCCGCTGAGGAGGCAGCCCCTGGTTGCCATAAGACCAAGCTGTTGGTCAAGAAGACAAGGGAGCCAGCTGGTCTCTGCATTCTGCAAGAGTGGAGGAGATGGTGCTGGCTCATGGGGGGTGGGGAGGGGGGTCATGGTTTGTCATGATGACTTTCTGGGTATCAGGGGAGTGGGGACTGCACTGGCCCCCATGGAACTTTCTCTTCTGTCTTATTCCAACCCTTCTAGGAATACTAGTATCAGGGAGAAGGAGCAGGAAGCCAGAATATCCTGGTGGCTGGGAGTGCATATAGATAATAAAAATTACTTAGGACTTGGAAAAAGAGATACGTCTTTAAGCCAATGCTTGGTTTGGGAACTACTGTGTTGACATTTTCATAGTCAAGAGACAACTGATGAGCAAGTGAAATCAGGAGGCAGAAAACGTGCATGAAAGAGCAGAGAACTAGTAAAGAAGAAAATTTCAAGAGAAAACAGGATGCAATGGGACCCGAGGGAAACAAAACTAGCTGAGCCCTTCACTTCTGAACCACTTTCGCTGAGGGAGGCAAAGAGAAGAAGGAGCGAGAGTGAAGGAAGAAAACAGAGAAGAGTAAAATGCTGCAGGCGTTAAAAAAAACAACACCAACAAGAAAACCAAACAAGAGAAAGGCAGAGTCAAAACCAACACACCATCTTCTAAAAGGACGAGTTCTCTTACAGAATAAAACCTGACATGTCGAAAAGCATTAAACACTACAGAAAATTAGTCTGGAGGAAAACAGCCATTAAAAGAGAATGAAGAATAGGTCAGCCACATGAAAGAAGTAAGAAAAGACTGCAAGAAGAAAGATGGACACGTTCCATAGAAAGCTAATTCCAAAACGTTATGTGGCAAAATATATACATAATAATGACTGTGTACATATATATATGTATAGGCTTATACATATATATCTACACAGACCACACACAAAATCATGTAAAATACACTTCGTTGTATTTTATCTAAGGTGGGCAACATCAAAATGACAGCCATGTATCATTTTGCTGTATCTTCTTACTTTTTAAACCTATCAGAAAGAAAAGAGTAAAGAATTTGCTCCGGGTCATACATATACAAAAGGTTTGTGGTCAGCAGCCACAACACATATAAGATTGGGGAATTCTGGGTGATACAGACAACAGAGTGAAGTGCTCATGATTTTTTTTGAAACGGGGCGGGGTGGGGGCGGAATGCAATGGGAATCAACCGTATTAAGTTCTCAAGAATTTCTCTGTTGCCCCCCTCCCATGCTGGGATAACTCTGGGAACTTTCTTAGAATGTCCCCCTGGTTTTGGTTAGTGGCTTTCTAAGCCCCGGAGAAATAAACCTCCTGCTCTGTGAGCGCAGCGCATGTAAATGGAACTGAGTGTTACCAGGAGGCTTAGTCCCCTCCTCCCCACCTCCCCTTCCTCCCCACCTGACCACCCCTGGTCATTTCCACAGGTGCCCCAATCCGGGGCCAGGGGTTTCGTTCCCAGCAGTTTTCTCTTCATAAGAAGTTTCTTCTCCATCCTGGTGTTGCCTCCTGGGGAGGTGCATTTGGATTCACACTCCTGATTTCCCAAATGTGCCCTGTGGTCTCTCTCTGTCCTTCATGTAAGATCCAAGTGAAAGTTTGGGGTCCAAAGAGTTTTCCTGAAGGCTACCCCTTGGCCCATCCTTTGTGGATATGAATGTGCTTCCCTGAGGGCGGTTTACCTACCATCGTCTAGAATGGAGCCCGAGTCCAGAGCTGGGGCAGTTTGATTCATATATTTTCAAACCATGACAAGGAAGAAATCAAGAAACATTAGAGGCTTTCAGTGAATTTCACCTCTTTTTTTGGTTTTCGGAACACTCTGTCCCCTATTTTCTTGTGCCACTTTCTCTTTTTCTATGATTTTTATCAGCAGTTGTTTTCCTGTTTCTTTTCTGCTCCTAAATTTGAGTGATTAAATTTTTAGGTATCCAAAGCCCTGAGAGAAGTTACTGCCACATGGGCAATCCATTTGGTACCCCATGTGGGATTTAACGCTGCTTCCTTTCAACACTAAGAAGTTGTCCTAATTACTCTTCTTCCTCTTGGTTTACACTTTAGAAGGCAGGGGATGATCACCAAAGAGCCAAATACTAGTATGTAGTCATTCTTTATTCCCCAGAAAGAAGTAGCTCTTTTGATTGCTGACCTCTGCTCAGTTTAGAGTTGAGAATTTCTAATTTGCTTCTTTCTAACTAGACTTTTATTTTGCTTTGGTACAATTTAATTCCACCAATTCAAGAACTGGAAGTCCCTGAACTATTTTCAGGACCCCCTCCCTCCTATATCTTGACTTAGATCAATAGTGCTGTCCCATCAGGCAGCTAAGCTAGGATATTTTTGAGATCTTAATTTGCTAGCCTTGAGTATCAAAGAAGGGCTAAATTTTTATCCATCTTAGAAGGATGACCTTTGGCTTGTCATTTTCAGTAGGCAGGAGATGAGTTCCCAAGAGAGAGAAACAAAAGAAAGGGGGAGCATATCTCACCTAGTGATGATGGTATTCATTTTAATCATGAGTTGTACTTACTTCCTTCAAGGCAATACTCTAGCACATAGCCATCTAAACCTGCAGCACCGATCTGATCTGGGGGCCGCCACTTCATTGTGACAGTGGTGTCAGTTACATTGTCAACAGCCAGAAGTGTAGGGGGGCTGGTTACAGCTTCAAAGATAAAAGAGACAGAAAAAGAAGAAATTATTAACTGCAGAGTTTATGGCAGGAATGGTAATAAAATGAGCTAGGATACAAATAAAAATATACACAGAAGACCCACATCTTAATAAAATTAAATTTAGACTCCTCAAGCATATGCTGTGTGCAAAGATCTGCTAGACATGGAAACATTTTATTTTTAAAAATATATTTTTACTAAAGGCCTGATGCACAAAATTTGTGCACTGGGGGTGGGGGGTGGTTCCCTCAGCCCAGCCTGTGCCCTCTCGCAGTCCAGGACCCCTTGCTCTTTAACGACTGCCTGCTTGCTGCTCCTTACTACTCGGTTCGCTGTTCTTTAGCACTGCTGCGGAGGTGGGAGAGGCTCCTGCCACTGGCACTGTGCTCACCAGCCATGAGCTTGACTTCTGGCTGAGTGGCCCTCCCCTTGTGGGAGCCCACTGAC